AAAATATAGGATCAATTGCATTGCACTTCAATATCTCAACACCAATTCCCGACAATGGCGCCATTTTATTCAAGGGGTAAAGCAGCAAGCAAAAATGTTAAGTACCAATTTGTGTCATCTCCACAGGGATCAGTGCGATGAAAGAATTCCGTTCAACGGTCTCTACATTTCTAAGTTTATTGTTCAAAAGGTTTGGTTTAAAAGGTTCAAGGAACCATGAATAGAAGGCAGAAAATATAAAGACAAAAAATATAAAGTAAAGACTGAAATATAAACGGAGCCTTGTTGGGATTGAATCTCATCAATTGATAACACATGCGTTCTTCTGATCTTGATAAACAAAACTCAATCATTTGTCTAATATCCTCACATATCACTCACGACAGAGGTCATCTCTAACACAACGTCGAGAGAACAACTGTGTTGTTTCATTGGTGATGTCTCACGCAACAAAAACATAACACAGAGCATTAAAAATTGATACTAACTCAAATGCTAAGCCTAAATATATGTTTAGAGTTTAGGACCTAGCAGGTAATCATCCTAGATCCAGATATGAAGAGTACATGTCTATAACAACTCAAATCATCGATAAACATGTAAACAAAGACGACACCCATATCAGATAAACAATTGTTTTGAATAAAACACAATGATCAGAATATGTACATATGCTTAACCTTTTTTACATGTATTCATCTAATCTGCTAAATGGTTGTGAACATTATTCTTCACCACTATTATCACGCACCCGCACAATATTGTATTGATCCTACTCATGCTACCCATACTACTTAATCAATACAATACAATAGAAGATACAATGAATATCAAGTTACAAAACCATGTCAAAAGTTTGTTCATTGATAGATAAAAATATTAGATCAAAGATGTGAAATGGTTTTGTCAAGACCCACAAAAGAAATCAAAGATAATCAATCAATAGAGAAACCAAACTAGTTCAAAAACATATATTAGATGAAATACATAAGGTATCAAAAGATTACATCTAAACCCTAACAAGAGATCAAAGATCTCACCTGCTCCCTCTTTGGGTTTTGTATTTCTCTCTCTAAAATAAACTTGAAATGAAGAGAGATAAGTTCTGATGTAAAAAATATTAATTTTTAACCTACAAAGCAAGAAAAGTACTTATATAGTACATTCAGGATCTGTCTTGTTCGCACTATGAACAGATCCTTCGCCTAGCGAACATCAAATTGGGCACCTGAGGTACCTCTGAACAGTTAAGCCTCCTTTGAGAATTTTCCACATGTTCGTTGTGCGAGCAATCCTTTGCATTGCGAAGGCTTCGCTACAAACTTCGCACAACAAATTCTCCTCAAAATAGTTACTGCCTTAAGTCTAGGGCTATTCGTTAGGACTCCACTTCTCCTTCGCTACAACAAACAATTTGCTAAATCCTTTGCACAACGAGTTTCAATTTCTTTTCTCTCTGGATGAATGACACCATCCTCTCCAAGGCCTTCGCTAGAAAGTTCGTTGTGTGAATTTTTTGATGTTTTTCTGGGTAGATTCGCTAGGAAGTTCGCTGTGCGAACTTGTTGATATTTCTCTGTTGTCTTTGTTTCTTTGTCGAATTCCTTGTGTCTTAATCTTCTTATTTTGTGCCTAATTCTTGCACAATAGCACACAAATCAAAGCAAACAACACATTTTCACATAATGAAGCATATCATCAAAAACAAGAGTGATTCTAATCACTTTTACCTACAAAAAGAATGAAAGATGCCAACATTTGATAGATCAAATAAGCAAAGTTTGACATCTAACAACTTTTCCCAACTATATTTTTGGTTGTCCTCAAGCAAAGTATGCCTCTAATTTCAAACAAGAGGATTTGCTCAAGATAAAGATTCACTCAAGAATTGATAAAATGGCTCAAACACAAAGAATGCAAACAAGCAATGGTTTCAAATGTTGAAAATCAAAAATTGCACAAGAACTAAATTATTAAAGAAAATATTAAGTCATGCATCAATCAATAACTAAGTTTTTAAGGAATGAATCACTTTATCTCTTCTCTTCGAATAAGGATTGAAGAAATTACGCGTTTGCAACCGCGGAGACAATTTCACTCACCTGACAAATAATGCCAATATCAATCCAATTCATACAATATCTAACAATCAAAAATGAAAATATGGAAGTAAGAAGATCATTAAGGTCTTTAAGGTTGTAGCTTCGTCGGGTTTATAAACAAGAGACATTTCTAAGGCCATTGAAACGAAAATGTTGATGCAAAAGAGACATTAACTATACATGTTATTTACACATCCAATCTTCATCCAATTTTTTTTCCAATTGCAAACCTTCCCTACATTATTTCACAACTTATTCTTTCACTATTTTTTTTCAAGCAAGCATTCTTTTTTTTTTTACATTCATATTCACATAATTTTTTTTCACTGCTTGCTTGAATTTTTCAAAAGTTATAGCAACCTACCATCTTTCTTTTTCATTCTCCCCAACTTGACTTTTACTCAACCCTCAAGTGAATGCACTTCGATTTTTATGGAAAAGAGTACAATTAAAAAAAATTCAAGGGTTCAAGAAAATTTTTAGAATCTCACAAAATTCAAAATGAGATTCACATTGCTTAGGCTTAAAGGGGGTTAACGAACTCTCTCTATTCACGGGTAAGTTACATTTGAATATGGTTGTGCTCAATATAAAAAAAATGCCTTGGTCATTTCTAATGCTTCCACAAATTCACAATAATAACAAGATAAAGTATGAATCAAACGAATCAACAAAGTTTATCAGAAATCCAGTATTTAGTAAACAATGGAAGCTTTCTCACAAATTGTGATTTTTGGTTCTAAGTGAAACAATCATTCTTAATAGTAGTTGTTATTCTTAAATGACATAGGACCCAAGCCCAAGAGTGTTATAAATATCCCAACGATAGAGTTGAGAAGGACAACCACACTCTGATACAAAAAAATACAGAATTTCTCACCTCTAGGTGAACGAGCTATACATTCGTCAACATACCTCAAAAATCTCTAACAACGCTTAACTACTAGAAATTATCACATATTGTACTTTTTAACAAGGACATTAAATGAACTTCATCACAAGTTATAGTTTGACTATATTAGACTACTAAAAAAAACTGTGTTATCGACCAACCTTGTATAAATTGAGTGTTTTTTTTTCTTTTCCTCTTTAATTTATGTATTATATGTTTATAACTTTTATACAGATTTACAAAGAAAACTCTTTCTTTGAAGGAAATTCTCTCCCCGTATAAATAACAAAGTGACCTGAATATGTCCAATTTCATTCTTTAATTTATGTGTTATATCTTAATTTGTGTAACATACTTTTGCATAGTAATACTTTGAATATTGATCAAATTGATAAATGTTAATATTTTCAAATGAACAAAATCCTACTTGATTACCCAAATTAATTATCTTAGAGGTTTCTCAACTACAATTATCTAATATTGTGTAAATATTAAGGGTCTGTTTAGTTGGAGGGAGGGTTTGGGTGAAAAGGGGAGAGAATATTTTAAAATAAGTGTGTTTGGTTCAATTTTTTATGAGAAGAGAGAGATGGGGAATTGGAGGTAATCAGAATCTCTCCTGAAGTATTTTTTCGTTTCCCCCAAATTTAAGGTTTTCAGAGGGGAGTGGAGGAAAAGGAGTTATGATAACATCTATTTTTATTATATTAACAAAATTATCCTCATTTTTATTTAATAAATTTTTTAATTGTTTTTATAATATTATACCTTAATTTTTGTCTCCTTATTATAATTCCTCCATTTGTTTAATGGCAACTCCATTATTTTTATTATTATGATTCAACTTTTTTTTCCATGTGTTTTATTCTATTCATTTTTGTTTAATATTTTGCTTGTGATAACTTAATTATTTTATAATTTATTGTATTATATTACATATCAATATATAATTATAGTATGAGTTATATATTATGTAGAATTTAATTTTATAAAAATGTTATATGATTTAATGGATCATCAATATGAGAAAATGATTCATATAATCATTGATCATATAATTTAATTTTATAATGTTTAACAATATTTTATTTTCATTTTAAGATATTTTAGAATATTTTAAATATTAAATATTGTGTTTAATTATCTATGTAGTTTATGAATTAACAATTTATTTTGGTAAATATTTTTTTTTAAAAGTTATTTAGCATGAGTGTTATAATATTTTAAGAGTAAAAATGTAAATTAGTTTTAAACCTCTTATCCTCCTATGAACCAAACATATATTTGAATAAAACTTCTCCCTTACCTCTCCTCCCCTCCATTGAATCAAACGGACCCTAAAAAAGTTTTTAAAACACATTTGATCTTCTAAAAATGTGTGAATCTATCTAATTTAGGGGTGAACAAATGACGGGTCAAAAAGTGTTATAACTAACCTTAATTTTGTCTTAAAATTTTGATTAGACTATTTTAATGACCCTAACTCGAGACCATACCAACTAAGATAAAGGAACCCTAACTCGAGACCATACCAACTAAGGTACTTCCTCTGCGACTCATTTGAAATAAATATTAGACTATTTTAATAACCCTAACTCGAGACTATACCAACTAAGGTAGAGGAACCCTAACTCAAGACCATACCAACAAAGGTACTTCCTCTGCGTCTCATTTGAAATAAATATTATACCAGACCAATCGATTTTCATTGGAATGCCGAATTTCAATGACAAAAACTAAATCTATTAGAGGATTGCTTGAGAATTGTCCATATTATGGAATGATAAACCTGAAGCTAAAATTGAATGGTTAGAACTAGAACGATAACAAAAGGTTACATTATGAATGGAAATTACCCAGTTAAGCAGAACTAATAGTACTATTCATTCTGTCTAAAAATCACATGTCCAATTACCCAATAAAGAACAATTACAACCAAATCTGAAGATTTCTTCCCCCCATTTGATGGATAGGAATTAGTTCAAATAGATAGATTAACTTTCCCTTCAGAAAACATGAACTTTAAAAACTAAATCTTCTTTGTTTATAAGTTCAAAGACACAAACATCTCCCAGTTGCAGTTCATTTTCACTTGCAAACAAGGACCAACCAGCCGATAGATGGCGACCCTTTATATCCTTATTAACACGAAGCAATTTCACATTCCATGAACTTTCCCCAATCTGCAGAATCACATTCTTCTCTTTGTTCTCAATAACCCCTTCTAAATTTGGTACACTCTGCATTGTATAGTAGTGTTATGTTATCAATCATTATAATTTATGATCACAACATAACATGTATGATATTTTACTGCATAGCATTGCGTGAATTATAACCTTACCAGTCGAAAATCTGCGAGATGATTAGGTTTTATGAGAATAGTGAAAAAAGGATTGCTTGAAATAAATTTTGCAGCTACTTCTCTTGCTCTATTTTCTCTTGGCCAATTCAATGATGTAGTTCTTACACTAGTCTTCTTAAACTCAACTGCATATATATGTGAAATGTAAAACAGACAAGTAATCATGATGCTTGATGTTTTCAGGTTTCAACTCTAGCTTCCGTTAATAAAACAAAAACTACATGCATGTTTCTGTTAATTCATTTTGAATAAAAAATATTAATAGAAAATCTCACCAAGATTCTGTTAATTCATTTTGAATAAAAAATATTAATAGAAAATCTCACCAACAAAATTATGTATAATAAAAGAAAAAACAGTAAAACTAAATCTGCATACCTCTAACTTTCTTACATGGTCTAGGAGAAACAAATGGCGACTTTGGTCTAGTCTTCTTCTTATTAAGCCATTCATTCAAAATCTCAACTGATTCATCATCACTATCATCAACATTGAAAATCTCAACTGATTTATCATCTCTATGATCAACATTCAAGATCTCAATGGATTCATCATCACTATGATCAAGATTGTCGGTTTCGTCAAGAGTGTTACATGAAGAACCATAGTCAATTTCTAATGCATGCTGGCCAAGTATGATTGCATCTAAAGTTGAAGTTCCTTCTTTATATTTAAAGACTACCAAGCAACCATGTTGTAGAGAGTAATTTTGAGTAAACAATTTCCAACCCTTTTGAAACCAAATGTCACCATTGATGTTTTTCCAAAACACTTTCCATTTAGTGCCATCAGGAGGGTTGATCATCACTGGATTTGGTAGACCAGCACCGTGTCTTCTTGTAAACTTGTTTGGTATTTTCTGTAAAAAAAAAATATTAATATTAGAACATAGAACTTTTCAACAACAAAAAAAGGTAAAACAGTAAAGATAATGTTTTGTAGTTATGGTAGAAATATATAGTAATAGTAGAGAGTAGTAGTAAATTAAGAGGAAAGGTTACAATAGTTTGAAGATTGGTTTGAAGAATAATCTTGAAGAAACAGATGGGAAGGGTTGAATTTTCTCTAGGCATTGGTGATGAAGTGGTGGAGAGTTTAGGAGATAATGTGTGAGATACACTTCTTTATTGATAATGCTGAAGTTAGCAAAGCATGCGCCATAAATAACCTAGAATGACTAGTAGTATTATGTCTTGGTGAGAAAGCAAGCGAAACTCTTCATTTACTTATGCTTATAATTAACATATCTAGTACCTACCTAATCTCATAATTAATAATCGCGAGTCTGTTCATATTTCATCATGAATTTTATATTTCAATGAATATTAATCCCTCTCTAGTGTACTTTTATAAGATACTTAAAAAATACTCCTATATGCATTAAAAAGTATTGGTAGCTTAACTACTCCCTCCAGTTCAGAACCACTGAATCTCCCTCCAGTTCAGAACCAATGAATCGGTTGATTTTTTTTACACGTATTAAAAAATAATAAATTAAAGAGAAAAATTCATATTTTTACTAAAGTATTTTTATTATATATTGAAAATAATAAAAATATTATTATTAATTAGAGAGGAAAATAAAAAAATATATATTAAAAATTGAAATGAATCATACATTCTAAAACACTATTTTAATTTAAATACATTAGTATATTTTGTAGACAGTATTACTAAATTATCATTTGTATATAAATATTTTAATTTTAACTTTTATATTTTAGTATTAATAAAAATACATATTTTAATATAAATATGTTGTGGGTTTTTTATTTAAGAATAAATACATATTTTCATTAAAAAAAAGCAAAAAAAAATATTATTAAGAATTTATAATCTACATAGTAGATTTATTCTTAGCCCGCAAAATTCAAGATGGAAAGGTATAGAGGAAAGAACGAGGGAAGTGAACATGAGAAAAAGGTGCACCCCCACTCTCACAAAAGTAGACAATTTTACTCGATGATGCATCAATCATCATCCAGATCAACCGGATAGTTGTCTGCGTAGTACATATGTCATTTGCAAACAAAATCTAATTTTTACGTATTTCCATGATTCAAATCTCCTTTAATCTAAAGATCCAGATCTCTTCTCCTAGAATGTTCAAATCTTCATTTCTTGATTTTTGTTGTAAAAGCATTGTGATATTCTACAACATCCAACAGACCCGTCCTTCGATTCATCAACCATGGTGGCATCCAAATCCAGTTGATTCGTCTTTCAACATCAAGTCTTTGTTGCAACTATTATGTTCACGTCTTCCTCCTCAAATAGAGGATGATCCCGTCCTTGTAGCATCTCCTTCCAATCCTTCATAATAAGATCCTGCTCTACCAAAAGTGAACCAAGGAGAATTCCCATCTCTTGCGTTCTTCGGGTCTAAACAACAACTCCACCTAGGTGAACTATCACATCAACCTTCACTACTATATGTGGTACCCATATAGGAATTTCTCTTTGACCTTTAGTTCTTACAGGTAAATCTTAGGATAGAGGGAGTTACCAACATACTGAAAAGTGTTTATAATATGGTACAACATAAAAACTCATAGTTCTAAGCAAAAGAATTCTAGAAGAGAGACTGCAACATATCACACCAAAAAATAGTGTTGTGTGAGAGGCAGCCTCTCAAAGGCAATCGAGTTATTGTTCATAAAACGACCTCAATTAGTGTAGCAATACCACAAGGAGAGACCCCGAGGTCGCCTACTCACACCTGTCACCGAAGACATATGACTTCTCACCTTGATCCTCAAGGAGGACTGTTAACTACACTTCTATAGAAGTTCTTCTTACTCAAAAGGGGGAAAGGTGTGAAGAAGAAGCTTAGGTTCTAGAGTGAAAAAGGAACCCTATGTTCGTTCGCATCCTTGATGGCATGATTTTGAGGTCATTAGACAAGCCTCTGAAGCTGTAGAGCTATGATGGAACCGAAGACCCGAATGAACACATTGAGCACGTAGGCAACTGGTTAGACTATTATCACGTCCAAGGAATACTAAATTGCAAACTCTTTGCATTAATCTTGAGTGTGACTGTAGCGGAATGGTTTAAGACCTTCTCAGATGGGATCATAGATTATTAGAAGGCCTATGTGAACCTTTCGTTGTAACACTCCAAATTCTTGAAATATTTATTTAATTTATTTATATATATGAATATTCGCATTTTTGGTGATTTTCGGTGGTTGGTGGAAAAATTGAAAATTATGGATTTTGAGTTATTTATTTAAATAATAGTATATAATATGAATATATTGGTATTATTATTAATTTAAATAAATATAAGTGGATTAAGGGCAAAGTGGACATTTAAGGAGAAGTTAGTGAGTGTGAAGTTGGAAAGCCCAAAGTTAGGTTTAACAAAAAGGAATTTTGAGGGAATTAGGATTCATTCTTGTTAGACCGTGAAAAGGGAAGAAATAGAGGCCAGAGCTCTGAGGAAGAGGATTGAGGCAAAAGTTTCGCAAGGTTTGCAAGAATCAAGGAGAAAGGCTTAGAGTCAGCAATTAAGGTATCGGGAGTATTGTCTTCATTGTTTTCAATATGTGATTCAATATATTTAAAGTTGATTTAAGGGTTTACAAATTTTTTAGTATTGAATTGTTGTTGCCTTTCTGATGGTGAGTTCAATGAGTTTGAGGAATTTGAACTGACGGTCTGATAGGTTTGAGGCTGATTTGAGAATAAGGGAAATTAGGCCTTCGTGGACAAAATCTGTTGTTGAGGTTGTTTAACCCTGTAGGGTAAGTGATTTGTGATAACTCTAATGACTGTGGTGTAGTTGTAAGATATTATGCGAATTGGAGGCGTAAATATGATATGGGATTGGCCTAATAAGTCGTAGGTTTTGTGCCTCTATCGCCGTAATACCTTAGGAATGATTTAGAGATGTTTTTAGGACATCAGGGAAGGAAATCATAGAGGTTTTTGGACTGGTTTTGGTGTTGGTGCGTAACAGCAATTTGCTGTAATCACAAGTTTGCACGGTGAAGAATGCTTCGCATGAAGAACATTCGCCCCAGACTCGTACTGCGAACTTGCTAGCGAATGTAGCAGAGTTTCGCGAATTCTGATCAGGTGGAGTGATGTCTTGATATTTTGATGTTGTGATTTCTTTGATGAATTACCATGAGTATGACCATGATTCCTATGTGATTAATACATGATTGTATGATGATTTCTATGTGTAATTGTGATGATTTATGATGTTGATTCCATGAGTTTTGATGATTATATGATGACATGATTATTATGATAACTTTGATGAATGATGATGCACCTAATGAGATTATTATGAGTATGATATTGACGCGTGCATCATGCACTCATATGCATCCGGACTTTGGTTCAGAACCTTGATTTTTGTGGATTTAGTCCCATTGTGTGAATGTGAGGTATTTTGTTGTGCTCCGGTTCTCAAGTAGAATCGATCCTACTGTTGTGGATTTATGGAGGGCTGATGGCCCACTGTCCATCAAATTTATGTTGATTGGTACCACATGCATGAGTCTTGTTGCATTTGCATTTATGTGATATTTTAATGTAATTTATAATATTGTGGTCTTTGATGTTCCTTGATGATTATGATGATGTTGAATACGAAAATGACGTTATTTTATATATTGATTCCTATATTGATTATTATGAATCATTTTACTCACCCTGCCTGTTTGAATGTTGTCTCCACGTGGATAACGTGCAGATGACCAGGTTTAGCCGTGGATGTCGTCGAGGACTTTTGAAGTTTTTGGATCGTTGGCCATTGTGGTTGACTTAGAGGGTCTTGCTCTGATAGTGTAACATCGGGTTCGGGTCTTTGAGTTAAACTATATTTTATTGAGTTTTTGTTATGTCGATTGCCTTGCGGCGCAAGGAAAACTTTGGATTTTGCCTTTTTGAGTTCCGCTGCCTTTTGAGTAATATTTTTGAGTAATTTTGGGAAAACCCGTTGTTTACGGAGCATTGACTATATTTGAATTATTGAGAAATGTGCGCCCTTTTGAGATGATTTTATTGCGTTCAATATTTTACTCTGATAAATATGATTGAATTGCCTTTATATTTGTGTGGTAGAAAAGAGTGTTTTATTCATCGCCCATTTCATCGTCCAAAATTTGCAACCTACGACAATGACTATACTGAGTAGGGTCACTCAGTGGAAGAAAGAAACCCTACACAAATACATTGACTACTTCACCAATGTGGTGGTAGCCATGGGGGGCATAGATGGCGTCCTGGAATCTTCGGTATTCGAAAAAGGATTGAGATTGGACCACATGTTTTGAAACAATATGGGACGTAAAGAGCCTGTATTCAAAGCTATTTATTGAGTAGATCACATCCATACATTTTCCTCTTCTGCTAACATGAAAATGTAATAGATTTTAGTTAGGAAAATGGTCAAGATGAGATGTATAGAGGTGTATTCTTGTTCAGGCGAAGGACACACCTCATTATCGCATGGGAGTTTTATTATGACATGTTGAAAGGAACCTAATTCTCTCATGGGAGAAAAAGAAACCTAATTGTAGGTTGTCTAGTTAACATCTTAAGGAAATACTAACTTAATTCTATGACCTAAGGTTGATATTGAAAGGGAATTAATCCTAAAGATTATCCTAATCAAAATTCTAATTAACTCAGTATTAATTAATTAGTTATATACATTTTTGTATATTTTAGAATATTTATTATTTTTTTATATTTTTTTAATTTCTAAAAAATAAAGCCTATCTTGTTATGAATTAAATATGTTTTGTGTTTTTTATTTTTTTTGTATTTTTGATATTGATTTATAAAATATCTATACTAAGATTGAAACTAATCTAAACTAAATGAATTAAAATGGATTATAACCATATATTAATTAAATATGCAAAATGAAAGAGAAATTAATTAATGAACAATAATAAGACTTCAAGTAGTGTGAAATAACAAAATTAGACTCATGAACCAATTATAAACAAATCCTAATATCTTATATTAAAAAAGTATTAAAAAATGCACAGGGAGGAGAAGCGTTCATGGTTAGTGTTCATGACTCATTAGAACAAACCAACGTATAATAT